TAAATCGTTTTTCAGTGAATGCATGTTAGCTGATATTGAAAACAGAGCTCACCCCATTCCAAGTCAATTTGGTCACCTTCACAAGCTACAATTGATTCTGTAAGACAATAGAGAAAGAAACAAGAATGACCTGATAAGGAAATACTGAACTGGGAAAGATCAGACAGTTGGGACACAAACGTGGGTGATGTTGAAATACTTGTAGGATGAAAGACATTTATCCTCGGTTTTAAGTTTCTCATTGGTAAACACACAGTCTGCCAGTCCATTACACCTGTTTGAGAGTAATAGGTCAACATCACTACAAACTAATTTATGGAGCAAATGCAAAGCTACTTATTAAATTCCTAATCTGGAGTCTAACGCAAAAAGCATGAAAGAGTCTTACAGGGAAACGAATGCAAGACCACCATGACACCCAGAATAACAGCCATTTACATATTCGCAAGTGTCATTTTTGTGACCATATGTTCTTGATGTAGCAAAGATCACACTAGTATCTTGAAAAGAAAAAAACATTTTTATGCAGGCAACAGTGTATAGACCTTTTTCTTGGCTGCTGCATAGAGGGCTCCATAGTGACCAGCGTCTTTCAGTAGAATGTTTCGAACTTCTGTTTACATCGTTTACAATAGGTAACTTGCGATCTGAAAAGAGGTTTCAATAGTGTCTTGAGTAGATTACGGAGTGTTTTTGTGACAACTTTGAAAGGTGTGTGTTAAAGTCGTTATCATCTGTCAGATGTGGTTCAAGTGCAAGAGAAAATGTTCTCGTAGTTCACGTGTCTGCCGTCAGACATTTGTGTGTGTGTGTGTGTGTGTGTTTTCGACCTGTCAGCTGTTAGCTCAGCGGCTCTTCAATGTATGCATATGCACGCGCGCACACACACACACACACACACACACACACACACACACACACACAAAATACTTCACTGCATTATAGAGCAAACCAGATTAATGACCAATAAAAGTCCATTACTGATACTCTGCTGGCTGATTTATATGTTGATTCTCATCAGGAGCCGTTAATATTTCATTTAGTTAGTGTGTGTTGTGTAATATTTTCCATGGTTTGCGTTTTTCTGCCATTTCAAAATGCCTCTTTATTTTCACTATGTGACACTTAATCTGTGTGTCAGTGGGACGGTACAGTAGGCTACGCATGTGTGCTAAACATTATGGTGAATTACGTTTGTTTGGGTTGGTTATAAGTTTGGAAGAAAGAGAAAACGTTGACTTTAGCGATGACGAGGCTTCACTTAAACAGCTACAGCGAGGGGAAAATGCCTCATAGCAGTAGTTTTCCATCCCACTAGATCACATAAATTTTTTAAATGAACAGTCCAGGAGGTGGCGCTGATCGACAGCAGGATTAGTTGAAAGACCTTAAAAGCAGGTACAATAGATTAAAACTATAGTTTTAAATCTGTCCAAATGTGACAGTTCATACGCATCAGCTGCAGACCGGAAGTTCTTAGCATTCTCTTGCGCATACAAAGCATAATGGGTAATTTTGCGTTCTAAGATGAAGGTCTATATTTAACAGAACATGACTACATCTTACCACATTGTAGATCAGGGGTGTCAAACTCAATTCCTGGAGGGCCGAAGCCCTGCACAGTTTAGTTCCAACCCTGCTCCAACACACTTACCTGTAGGTTTCAAACTAGCCTGATGGACTTAATTAGTTTGATCAGGAGTGTTTAATTAGGGTTGGAACTAAACTGTGCAGAGCTGCGGCCCTTTTGGAACGGAGTTTGACACCTGTGTTGTAGATAAAGGTCAGAACCCACATACGTCATTACAGTGTCTGAAATAAAAAGTGCAGCTGTAAAGCCATATTTAAACAGTCATTCTATGAAACGGGTGCCATTCCCACATTGCAATTTTTAAAATTCTTATCAAGTACAAAAAAAAAATAAATAAATAATATATATATATATATATATATATATATATATATATATATATATATATATATATATAGCTAATGACTCATAACAATATATATATATATATATATATATATATATATATATATATATATATATATATATATATATATATATATATATATAGATAGATAGTTATATATATATATATATATATATATATATATAGTTATGAGTCATTAGCTTTGTTTCCATCCACCTATTTTTATGACACCTTCAACCGCCACTGCACATTCACTGCATGTCGGGATTGCCTTCTGAGTTCTAAGGCACCTTCTTTTATTAGATGAAGAAAAGATTCACGCAGTTTGGTCACACAAACTGCAGCAAATTCAGTTTTTACTATTGATAGTTGGCACCAGTTAATCAGGAAGTGACGTCTTTTATGCATTAATCCAGTCTTGCATATTGAGTTCATTCGCATTTTTGGATTGAAACATAGTTAGTGTTTACTTTAATAAATCAATGTAAGGGTGAAGGGATTGACCGAATAGGCAGATTTTTTAGAAGGTTTGGAAAGTAATTACATGCTTTCTTGTAAAAGTTATTTATAGTATCCACAAAATACAAGCATACAGCATTTTATTTTGATACTTCTTGTGGCTGCTGTATTTTGTAGTTTATTTTAACATAGTAAAATTGAAGTCTTTGTTAGACACTTAATTAAGACTTATTAACGTTTAATTTTAAGATACATTTTAATGTAGTTTTGCCCAACCCTGGCAATGAGTCTGGTGGCAAGTAAACCAAAGAAACACTTACATTTATCCAACTTTGTGGTGGAATTTACAACAATGGCAGACATCAGCAAACTGCAAGTAATGAACATTACTAAAAAGAAAAAAAGGAAGAGAGACAATTACTACTCTTACAGTGCTAATCTCACAGCAAACTAGAACACAATTTTATTCAGTAGAGAACTTTTTACATGCAAGTCATAGAACTACATAATATCAGAGATTGTGTACTTGCCTTTCCAAATAAAAAGACACTTACAGGAAAAGACCCACACAATACCAAAAGAAACCATTGTTCTGCTGCAACCATTAATGATGTGTTTAGTTTTTACTGGTTTATATTTATAGGCTGATGCTCTGAGTAGTAATGAGCGACATCTGTGCACCAGTCTCCAGTCTTGGATAAAGAGGATAACGAGGAAAGATGAGAGATGAAGAGTAGATAGAGCTACTAAAATAAATGATATTCTAGCACGAACTGGGATTTGTTTACAGCCGATAGAATAATAATCATTGGGGAATAGCATATGAAGAGACAGCCAAAAAAAAAAAAATAATAATAATATAAGGATCAATGAATTCAACAACATTTCGCTAGAGCAGGGCAATGTTTGGTCACATTTTATTTTGATGGTCTGTTACATTGCATCTACATGTCAACTAATTCTCATTAGATTATAAGTAGACTGTTAGTGTAGGTTGACATGTACTTGCAAAGTTTATTATAGTCAGTTAAATGCCTGTTTAGCAGCAGTATCAACAGATATTAAGCAGACAGGCTACTGAAACTCAAATGGACCATCAAAATAAAGTGTTACTCAATATTTTATTGTTGAAGCATCCAATAGGAAATGAAGTTTAAGGAAGTTAGATTTAGTCAGTCACAATCTTCAAGTCTCAATTTTTTTAATGAAATAAGTTGTTATTAAAATTCATACAATAAATACTGTTGTAGCCTCTTAATGTAGTGTAAATCATTAAATATAGCCCTTACATTATGCTTATGGATACAGACACACTCATAATAGTAAAAATCTATGGCTTCAGTTAAATCCTCTGCAACAAACTTTGCAGTCACATGTTTCAGGAAACTCAGAAGGGGAGGAGTCAATGTAAATAAAGAACAGAACATCTCTTTATGGAGGACGAAACCTGCAAAAATAAATAAATATGCAAAAATAAAGGATTAAACAAATCCATAAATTCCTGCATGAAGAAATAGACATGCAAATAAAAAAAAATAAATGTATATAAATAATCATAAGTTCTTGTGTAAATAAATATTGAATAGTGTGGGCAGGTAAATAATGAAATAAACTCCACGAATGTTGAGCGGAAAAAGAAAATGCCAAATAGAGGCTAATCAGAGAATGTCTGTTTCTCAATATGCATTCTTCAGCGGTCTTGCGTCCTCGTGTAACGTCATCATCAGCTGCCAAAGTTCAGTTCCAATACTCAAGACTGCAAGAACAGATGACACGTGAAACTTCCCGGATGTGTTCTTGATATCGAAGACCCACGATGCAGACTTAAGCACCGAACTCGCGCTAGAAGTCCCAGAAGCCATTGCGACTGGAGGTGGGAAGCGCAGCATTTTATTTCTCTCAGTCTCCACAAAAACGCAAGTCCATTCTCTGTGTTCTTGGAATTGAGAAGCAGCCGATGTCTGTCAATCATCAGAAGGCGGGCTTAAAGCTGTTTACACTGGACTTTTCTCCTAGACTTCCATTCATATGCACGTGAATACATCAGACCAGAAATGCAAGCTCATACGACAAGTATTGCAGTTCGCTGCGTGGCAAAATTCAAGCTTTGCAAACTCTGACCTGCAAAATCACATCATGTTACTGTGTGAGACCAACCGATGATCAAAACATGACCTCTCTGTATAGACATTTAAAATATGGACCAATCTCTCACTTTCTATATTTTCTTATGCCCCAATCAGATGCCACATCTGTTTCACAGCTGAAATCAGATCCTAATTTTCTGCATATGGAAATGATCGGAACTCCACACAGCTCCTGGACTACTATCCATTGGAAATTAATGACTTCTGGACTGCTGCTTGTCATGTGCAGTGGAAAGGTGGCTTGACATGGAGCAGCGACATTTTAAAATGGAAATGGCCTCTCCAGCATTTTCAAATCACCCCATTTTCAGTGCTCAACTCTGGGGTGGTTTGAATGGAATGCGTAAAAGTAGCAAAACTTACGCTTTTAAAACCCAAAACTTATGTGTAAACAAGTCCTAAGAATAGCTGGATGAAGAGACCTCTGGCACAGTGATGCTTAATTCATCATACAACACTCACAGAAAATAAGCTTGGTTTTATTGTAGAAAGATAGAAAAACTAATTTGATCAATAAATTACCTTTTTTTTTTTTACATCCACAGATAGAGATATGATTGAACTACACTGCACAGTTATCCAATTGAGCATGCATTATTTGTAATAAACCCATGGTTAAACATTAAAGGGTTAATTGCAGCCAATATGCAGATACCGACAAATAAGGTGTCAAATCCACAAGATCAGCTCTCTTCTGCTGCAAGAATGGAAAAAACACAACATATTAAAACATTGTAGATCAAATTGATTTGTAAACAAATGGACTAAAAATGCAAATTTATTAATCACTTACGCGTGCAGTAGTATGAGATGTTCAGGTACTTGCGTGTGCCGACACATGGATCATCAAACATTTCATTGGAGGCTGTTACAGTGCAGCTTTTAGCCCCCTCACAACTATACCACAACAGTCAATTCCAATTGTTAATGCTTGTAAACTGACTCATTAGCAATCAAATTAGCATTCATTCACTATTCTCAAATGGTCAAACCCTGGCCATACCTACACAGACAGATCTCTGACTAATAAAGCAATAAACTTTTAAAATGCTTTTAAAAACAAGAGGCTTTGTTAAAATTAACCCCTTCGGACCCTGTGTCCAATGGACATCACATGTCAGCCAATGTTTTTTGGGGTTCCTGAGCATTTCAACTAATTTAAAGCCTACAGTCCATGAGAGTGGGCGATTGTCATCCAATCAAATGTTAGCATGGTTTGGCAATTTGTAACATAAAAATAATCCAATACACTGAATAGGAGTATGGCAACACTTCACTCCAGACAAATGTAAGCCCTGATGTTCATATTCAGATTTGTGATAAAAATTACACAATTAACGCAGTTGCAGTTTTTTTTTTTTCCTGTTATGGTCGAAATTGTGTTCAACATGCAAATAAATATGGATAAGACCAAGGAAGCACTAAGTTTCAATATAAAACGATGAATGTCGCATTAGCAGGCTGTCCAGCGTTATCTCCAGTTTCATCTAATTTCGTAGGTTTTATTTTAAATCTTTCAACTTTTGTTTTAATGGAATTCGATACCGCATGGGGAACAGAAAGAAACACCTACGCATTTCATGACTCAGTGGTCCTTCAAGGTAATAAAAAAAATAAATAGCTATTAACATGGTAGACTCTTATTAAGAGTATTACCTTAACCATATAAAAATCTTAGTATTGGTGTCCATGTAAATGTACTCAGTGAAAGTGCCAGACGATGTCAAAGACGGCGCAATCATCTGCCTTTAAGATGATTTCATGTGCTTTAAGTTTGACATGTTTCCCCCTTAAACGCAACTTTTGTAAAGCGTCTGCTTCATGTTGCTGTGTCAGAATCCTTGTGAAATATAGCCATACTTAGGAACGTTTAGTTTAAGCAAATTTTTCATGAACACAATCATGCGTGTTGAATCTGAAGGGAGTCGCTCCGGCTGCGCTGTACTGCATGTTGTGTGCGTGTGTGAGATTACACGCATGCATTTCCTAGCAACAAGAACATAAGCCTAAACATCGCTGATGTTTTAGTCCATAGGCTATCCCTCAAAGATCTTTAAAGATGGTGTGACCAAAGTCCCTGCAAGAATTAATCTTTGGTGTGACAACGCATACCTGTGGGTACCGCTTGTTGCTTACACCCTTGTCGCAGCACAAGTGGCAACAAAATTAGGCACCAAAATGCATATGCTGATTCAGTGATCCTGCTTGTTAGACTGTTCTCACTCTCTGCTTACATCATTCAAAAGAAAAGATCCAAATTGTCCCTCCGATAATGTCAACAGACTGGACTGCCTTATAGCAACTGGCTGAATGTAAAGGAGGACCAAGCAAAATTGCTTCTACTTTATAATTGATGTTCTCAACTATCAGCAATACAACTTTTCAATGAGTGCAATTGTTTGTATTCAATACTTTATTATTTTACATATTTGCAATGCTTGTATTTAGGCCTTTTTTTATACAGTCCACTTAAGAGACAACATAAAATTTTTTTTTTCTTTATTGGCATTAATTATTTTAAAATTTAAATGGTACTAACATGCCTGTGTCAAGCCAGGTTCTTGCGGATATGTTGCTTACATGAAGAAATCTGTTAAAAGTTAACGAAAATTCTAATAAACAATTCTAATTTGAATTTAAAAGAGTTTTTTTTTTTTTGTCGAGCATTTACATAAATTTTACATTTGAATAACCAAAAATTACAAGTTTCAGTCTTTTAAATTTGATTAAATCACAAAAAAAAGTGATTTAGATTTTTTTTTAATCGATTGACAGCACTTAGATAGAATCTAAGATAGATAGATTATAGATATATCGATAGAGAGAGAAAGAGAAGTTTAGTGCTGTATTTTTACTTTCTCAACTTCTTTTCTTCAACCTGCAGTCACTATATTTTCTCGTCTACAGGGATTAGAAAAATCAGTATTGTAATTTCTGACCAATTAAAAAAAAAAAAAAAAAAAAAAAAAAAAAACGCACATAGAAAGTAAATTGCATCATACTGAATTACCTCAGAGTAAGACCCAGATGCATGTCACTGATGAAACAATGACAGATGTTTACTGTATGACACCCAGCAGGCATAAGACGTCAACATGACATTAGATTAGCGTTGTACCCCAATGTTTTGGGGACTTTTGTTTTGTTTGGAAATAAAAAAATCGGGTTGACAACATTGTCCATCGTCCAACCTAAAAGCAACGTCTTATGTTACAGATTGACGTTGTGTGGCTGTTACCATTATGTTCTATAAGAGGTTGGTTGTCAGTATTTGAGGTTGGTTTAAGATGTTGGAGATCTTTCCAACATCAAAAGATCTTTCTAACACAACCTAAAAACCAACATAATTTGAATTCAAAATAATATTCTCCTTGGATGCTGGCTAGACATTAAATTGGTCACGTAAAATAACCTAAATCTAACCTAATATTAATGTATCATGACGTTATGTGGCTGCAGCGCAATGACTAAATGCACTAAAGAATGTTACGTTTACACAAATTACATGTAAATGCATCAGCTTTTTACAGCGTAATACTCACTAAGAGTACTTCTAAAAGTTCTTACTTTTGACTTTGAATAATATTTACAACAGATATTTTACTCCACTTGCACTACATTTTTAGGCAAGTAATGGTACTTTTACTCCAATATGATGTTTTTAGTACTCTTTCCACCGCTGCTGAAAATCTAAAAAACTAGTAAATGTGGATTGAACTTCATAGTTTTTAGGACAAATAAATATATATTTTTTTAAATTATAATAAAACATACTAGTTTATTACGGAAACAATTTCATATGCAGGAAATACAGATCTTTAAGATCATTAGCATTTGGAAATATCACAGATGTGGACAATGTTCTCTGTCTCAAAGTTCCCTATTTTCTGTCATGGTACTCATAACTATCTAAAACAGCAATTTCAAATCAGTTAGCTCAAATTGTACCTGTCTGACACGGTACTCAGTGATTCCGGTGCAAGGCAGTTTGTGTTTTGATGTCGATTTGGTTTTCTTTTTGGTTTAGAGCAGGTTGTTTGATCGGTACGTCCATAGTTTGCATCAATTATTGCAATAACACCTTGTTCTGCATGAAGCAAATGCAATATTTAGGTTATTATTTAAAGTGAAAGCATGCTACTTAATGTTGAAACAAGAGTATTGGAAATACAGCTCACCACATCCAAAGTCTTTTTCGTCACCTTCACAAGTTACACTTCTTTCTGGAAGACATTAGAGAAAGGTTACAAGTCTGCACAGAGAAGGAAACACTGAACTGGGAAAGATTAGATGAAATAACCATACGTGTTGGGATGCAAACATGGGTGATGTTGTAATAGTTGAATGACAGAAGACATGGATCAAAGCTTTCAAGTTGATCTCTGGTTAAGACACATTCTGCCAGTCCGTTACACCTGTTTGAGGGTAATAGGTCAACATCACTATTAATAGGAAATCCTTCACAGAGCAACTACTAATAATACCCCAAATCTGAGGTTAAAAGCATAAGAGTCTTACAAGTAAAAAAATTTAGGACTGTCTTTACACTCAGGATAAATTTCATTTTGTGGCTGTGTATGTCTGCAACTGTCATTTTGGCGACCATATGTTGCTGACGTAGCTAAGATCACACCAGTATCTTAAGGAAAAAAATAAGACATTGTTATGCAGTCAACATACATTACATTTAACAGAGCATGACTTCATCTTACCACATTTTAGATGAAGGTCAGAATCCGTACACGTTATTACGACGTCTGAAATAGAAGCGCAGCTGTAAGGCAGTCACATTTAAACTAGTAGCGTTCTCGCTAGTAATTCAGTTGAAGTACTCAAACAATTTTGATGCAGATACACTTTCACTCTTAAACACTCAATGCACTTTAGATGCTCAATGTGCAGTCAGGAAATGTAAACAAACAAACAAACTAACAAACATGTCAGCACATGTGCATTGACTCTAACATTTGCATTTGGTAAACTAATCTCAATACTTGCGTTCTAATTTATATCTCAGCAAATCAGTGAGCAAAATACAAAACCGAGCGTGTCAAGAGCGTCTGTTCTCCACGTCTCATAGCTTTGATTGCACATATTCATGGTGTGTCAGCATCGTCCTCTGAAGCACAAGTTATCTATTAAATGAAGAAACGATTGATGCAGCTTCTCCTACTGTAGTAAATTCTGTTTTTACTGTTGATATTTGGCGCCACGTAATCAGGTAGTGACACTTTTGTTCTCTTTGACTTGTTGGATGGAAACGCTGCTTTGTTCTTACATCTTTTACGTGTTATTCCAGTTTTGGACATATTTAATTAGCATTTTAAGATTTCAGTCACACAAAGAACAAAGTCACGTACGAGAATGGCTTGTTCTTTTTTTTAATGAATAATTAGCTTAAATTCACTGACCGTCGACAGGGACATGTACTGTAACTAGATTAATGGGATTACTACTCATTCTAAAAACTATTTTTTAAGTTCTGCTTACATTCTAAGTGTCATATCAACCTCACTTGATCAAAAATAAAGGCAGACACACAAACGCACTTACACCTATTAAAAACTACATTTTAGAAATTGCATCTTAAACTGATTAACGTGTGTAACAGTGGGAACATTAATTTGAACATTTCCACTAAACATTTTTATAAGCATTCTTGTCAAATTTGTTGTAGAAACTATGCAGTAGCCTATTTTATGCAATTTAATGCAGTTACGTCTGAAAAAAAAAAAAACTTAAAATCACAGCCAATTCCCCCCTTTTCAAGAGAAAATTTAATAAACTTCACACATCACTTTTTTGTTAAACTTAAATATTTTAAATGTAAAATTACGCATTAACTTGAGCAGCTGTTTTCCCACACAAACTGTCTCTTTCACTAATGCAGTGTTTCTGCTTTTTTGATATATTTGCATGAGCACATCAAGTTCAGCTGGAAAAAATGTATAAATTTTTTTTTTTTTTAAAGATGTTACTATGGTCCCTCGTAATATCTGTGCTCCATTGATTATGCCTTTTTTATAGTTGCGATATACACACTTAATTCTGAGTTGATCTACTCGAAGTTGATTGACCCAACCCAGATCAGCAATTCTGAGACAGTTTTTAATTTAAAGTTTAAACTCAGTTGGTTGAACCTCCTCACTTAAACAGGCCCCAGATCTGTCATTTTGTGATAAAGCATAGAAAAAGAGTGAAGAGGTGACTTTCATATACAACTTATCTGCTGTCAAGTAAACCAAGAAACACTTACATTCAAACTCACTGGTGGAATTTACAACATCTGCAGATATCAGCATACTGCTGGTTACAAGCATTACTAAAAGACAAAACAAAAGAACTGATTAAAACTCTTGAGTACTTCTAATTTAACACACATTCACTTTAGACGAAAATTTAATTCAGAAGGGAAATTTTCACATATTAGTTGTACAGCTAAACAACGTAATTTTAGGTGCATTTGACTTTTCAATTTAGTAAGACACTTACAAGCCAGCAAACACACAACACTGAGCGAAAACATTGTTCTGCTGTGTCCATTGACGATACATTTGCTGCTTACTGATTCATATTTATAGGCCTGTGCTCTGTGTTAATGAGCAACACCTGTGCACCACACCAGTCTCCAGTTTTAAAGGATAACGAGGAACGACGAGAGATGGCTGTTTCTCAATTCCAAGAACGCAGAGAATGGACTTGCGTTCTTGTGGAGACCGGTCTTGCCAGGTGTCCTCGGAAGAACGAACTCAGGAGACCGCGAGGGCAGAGAACTCGTCCTTTGAGAAATGGGATGCTGTTCTTCCTGATGGTCATGTGACCTTTACGCGTTTTAAATGGAAATTATTTAAACATTACAACACTCATACAGCGATGTATTGTTCCCCCCTCTTCAAAATATATACTTTGCATAAAAACATTATAAATATACTCTGCACAATATAAATAAAACAAATTTTAATACGAATTTCAGCAAACAAACACCCTTAATGTGTTTATTCCTTTATTAAGATGTTCATGTTAATGTTTACTTTGACTGTTTCATTTAGGGAAACTCCTGAGGTAAATAAGTCATATCTCTGAACTTTAATAATAAATCTAAATAAAATGCTGCGCTTCCACCTCCAGTCGCAATGACTTCTGGGACTTCCAGAGCGAGTTCGGTGCTCAAGGTTCGGTGCTCAAGAACTCCTGAGTTCGTTCTTCCGAGGACACCTGGCAAGACCGGTCTTCAGAAGAACACAAGTCCATTCTCTGCGTTCTTGGAATTGAGAAACAGCCCAAGTCTGCATCGGTGCGTCCTCGAAATGACTAGTTTTGGTTGAGTGGTAAGGAAGGAGATAAACAGTTTAGAATGGAAAGATCTGGAAGATGTTCCTTCTGTTGTTATACCCACATTTCCTTCATGGTTGTTTCCTATGCCATTATTAGATTTGCAAATTCTCAAAATAATTCAAAACAAGGAGATAATTATTCCAACTAATTTTGCGACAACAATATTATTCTGTATATACAGATTTTTACAGACCGGTCTAAGGAGCCAAAGGGTGGAAGATGAGCTGACGAGTGGGCACAGAAATTTGAATTCTTTTGGCTCGAGACTTCGGGTCTCATTCACTTCCATTCATTTTTATAAAAACATAAAAATATAAAATATAAAAATCGTTTCGCTGTTTGATGTTGCAAACTGATATTTTGTTATTGTTTCATTCTACATGGTCTGTATAGTTATGCAAACATTTGTTTGTAGAGCAAGTAGTCTGACCATTTTCTGCCATTTATTATTCCTAGTCATTTCTCCCATTGGTGACTGAATCGGAAGTTCTAAAACAATCGCAAAAACATGCGCATTTCCACATGACAGAATTTTAGAATAAGCTCAATATATTCTACAATTTAACTTAAAAATTGAAAAGAGAATATCAGATCATGTGTCAGTGTTTACTTCAAACTATGTCTAAGTTCAACTAGGACAAGCAGTAATTTGCACACACTCAATGGCTGCACTTAATCGCTTTCAAAGCGCCAAATTTAAAGCCTGACAAGATTTAATATTTGAAATTTTACAAAGTTTAGAATAATGGTTTCATTTCTCTGGGTGCTGGCACATGTGGGTGTAGATGGGAGTGAGAAAGCTGATTTGCTAGCAAAAAAGGCTTTGAATAATTTGCAAATAGAAATTAAATTAGCCTTAAGTAAAACAGAATTTAAAAGAATGATTGCAATTGAATTGTATAAGAGGTGGCAACAGGTGTGGAGAAATTAAACTAAAGGAAGACATTTGTACCAGATTCAGGAATTTGTTGGAGATGAGAGGAAAGGGTACTGATATAGGATGAAAGATGTCATCATTACAATATGAAGGATTGGTCATACATCATTAAATTACAGCCTGTATAAAATAGGAAAGCATGAAACAGGTAAGTGTGATAATTGCAGAGAATTGGAAATAATTAAGCATATCACTTTAGAATGTCCTGCTTATGAAAGAAAGTGGTTTGAGTTAATCCAAGAATTAGGGCAGCTGGAAGGTGAGGTAATTTCTTTAAAAGTCTTGCTACGAAATGGCCTTAGACAATCAAGAATTCATGAAATGTTAATGAAATATTTGGGAAACATAGGAATAATGCATAGAATTTAGAATTTTTATTTATTTATTTATTTTATATATGTAGTGTTTTATATATTTTATTTATTATTGTCTGTAGTGTATACGTGTGAATGAGTGTGTATGTTTCCCAGAAATGGATTGCAGCTTGAAGGCCATTCGCTGCGTAAAACATATGCTGGATAAGTTGGCAGTTCATTCCGCGGTGGCGACCCCAGATTAATAAAGGGACTAAGCCGAAAAGAAAATGAATGAATGAATGGATCCAGTCAATTCTCAACTTTGAAATGTAATATGTTTTAATTCTAAATTCAAACAATAAATGATGTTGTAGCACACTGAATATAGTGTAAATCATTAAATGTAGCATTTACCCAAAGTATGTGGTAGGCAATTATGCAACCATTATCCAAAAAAAGCATAGGCTAATGCTTACGCTGCCTCTATGGTGGTATGAAGGAAAGGAGACCATGTGACCAAGCTAGGGGACATTCTTAATCGCTTAACGTGAAAAAAAGCTTAACATGGCTTAACGGATGTTTACTGTATGACACCCAGCAGACACAAGACATCAACATAATGTTAGATTGATGTTGTACCCCAACGTTGTGAGGACTTTGCATTTTCTTTCAAAATGAAAATTGATGTCAGGCCAACGTCAATGTTCAATGTCCAATCTAAAATCAACTAAATATCAATGTCTAATGATGTTACAGCTTGAGGCTGCGTGGACGTAACCACTATGATGTCTATCTGACGTTGGATTTTGGTTGCCATAACTGATGAATAAATGTCTGTATTTGGCGTCAATATGACAATGGTTTAAGATGTCGGCACAACAAGGGTTAACAGTGTATCTACATTTGAAAAGCAGCTAGGCATTATTTGACCTTGTGGCGGTTTTGGTTTTAATATTCACAGACACGCAAGACATCATCATCTCAATTGTTTTTCATAATTACTGATTAAATCAATTAGTTCTCGATCTGCTTGAGTTGAAATCACTGTGCTTTTTTTAAAAATTTTTTTTACTGAAGGTTGTATGTGTGTGTCAGTGTCCTCCTCTCTGCTTGTTGTGCTCATGATTTGGGTCACGTCTGCAGAACACAGTATATCCTAAACACTTGCTGAGAACATTATAGGGCTGCATTAGTGCACTACGCAGGAACAGGACACAGACAGGAAAGTGTGTGGCTTAACAGCTCATCTAGATTTACTCACACAGGTATCAGAACTCACTGTGAGATGAAGACACCCGACCTTTCAGCTGTTCTGAAGACAACTGCTTTAATTCACTATTTCATATTCCTTATCAAATTAACCTTCAATTAGTCAGTCCGTATGTCTGTCTGTCTGTTTGTCTATCGATACATCCATATTTATAACGTTTATATATGTTGTCTGTCTGTCTGCATGTATGTCTCCAATCAGTCAATCAGTCACAATACATCCATATTTCAGCCTGTCTGTCTGTCTGTCTGTCTGTCTGTCTCTTTGTCTGTCTCCAATCAATCAATCAGTCAGTCAGTGTGTCTGTCTGTTTGTATGTCTGTTTGTCTGCCCCCAATCAGTTAGTCGGTTTATCTATCTGTCTATTTGTCTGTCCGTCAATAAATCCATATTTCAGTCAGGCTGTCTCAGTCTGTCTGTCCCCAGTCAGTCGGTCAGTCAGTCAGTCAGTACATCCATATTTCAGCATGTCTGTTTTTCTGTCAGTCTGTCTTTAAATTCATCCATATTTCAGCCTGTCTGTCTGTTTGTCTGTCTTGTCAATACATTTATATCTCAGCCTGTCTGTCTGTCTGTCTGTCTGTCTGTCTGTAAATACATCCATACTTTAGCCTGTCTGTCTGTTTGTCTGTCTTGTCAATACATTCATATTCCAGCCTGTCTGTCTGTCTGTCTGTCTGTCTGTCTGTAAATACATCCATATTAACAACCTGTCTGTCTGCCTGTCTTGTCAATACATCCATATTTTAGCCTGTTTGTCTGTCTGTCAATACATCCATATTTCAGCCTGTCTGTATGTCTGTCAGTCTGTCTGTCAATACATCCATATTTCAGCCTGTCTGTCTGTCTGTCTGTCTGTCTGTCAATACATCCATATTTCAGCCTGTCTGTATGTCTGTCAGTCTGTCTGTCAATACATCCATATTTCAGCCTGTCTGTCTGTCTGTCTGTAAATACATCCATATTTCACCCTGTCTATCTGCCAGTCTGTCTGTCAGTCTGTCTGTAAATACATCCATATTTCAGCCTGTCTGTCTGTTTGTCTGTCTTGTCAATACATCCATATTTCAGCCTGTCTGTCTGTTGTCTGTCTGTAAATACATCCATATTTCAGCCTGTCTGTCTGTCTGTCTGTCTGTCTGTCAATACATCCATATTTCAGCCTGTCTGTATGTCTGTCAGTCTGTCCGTCAATACATCCATATTTCAGCCTGTCTGTCTTTCTGTAAATACATCCATATTTCAGCCTGTCTGTCTGTCTGTCTGTCAATACATCCATATTTCAGCCTGTCTGTCTGTCAGTCTGTCTGTCAATAAATTCATATTTCAGCCAGTCAGTCTGTCTGTCTGTCTGTCTGTCTGTCTGTTTGTCTCTCTTAAATCAGTCAGTCAATCAGTCAGTCAGTCTCCAATCAGTCAGTCGGTCTTTGTTTCAATATATTCATATTTCAGTCAGACTGTCTGTGTGTCTATATGTTTGTCTCCAATCAATAAGTCAGTATGTCTGTCTGTCTGACTGTATCTCTGCCTGTCTGTCTATCTCTGTCTGTCTATCAATACATCCATATTTCATATTTCTATCTATCTTTCTGTCTCTCTACATGTCTGTCTTTCTCCAGTCAGTCAGTCAGTATTTCTGTCTGTCTTTTTGTCTGTCTGTCTGTCTGTCTCTCCACAATCTGTTAGTCTTATATCTATCTGTCTGTTCATCTGTCCTCAGTCAGTCAGTCAGTCTGTCTGTCTGTCTGTCTGTCTCCAATAAGTTAGTCAGTCAGTCTGCCTATCTGTACATCCATATTTCAGTCTGTCTGTCTGTCTGTCTCCAATAAGTCAGTCAGTCTGCCTATCGATACATCCATATTT